GAAGAGCGGAGCAGAGAAGGTGCCCGCTGATCGGTGGGGCCTGAGGCTTCCCTCCTCGCTCCCCACATCAAAGACGAACAACTGCAGTTGAGTGAAAGGGACGTGGAAGAGATCCTCACGGACAAGGTCAGCTGGAGGGGAGGAAACGCCCCTGAAGGGGCGTCTAGCCCAGTTTGTGGCCATGTGGGTCCTCTGCCCTGGGAAGCCTGGGTTTGGGCCCCTCAAACACAGTTCAGTAAGGATGGCTGATACCCCCAGAAAAGGTGAGTTTACAGGCCCCCAATACACAAACTTAGGTATCTGAAAGAAAATTCATGGGATGGGTTAAGGATTTACACTAAACAAGACAGTCTTTTGAGACTATCCAGATAGTCACCGGATAGGAGAGAATATTGGAAACACGAAGTTAGGAATAAGCAGTGTTATAGAAGAATCAAGTGGAAATACAAGTGTGAACAACAGACAAGTCGCAATAAAGAACTCCAGAGCTGGGATGACTGGCAGGGGTAAATACAGCCCCGGAAAGAAACAGAGGAGAGTAAGGACCTCGCCTGGGGCAGCGATGAAAAAGAAGAGCCAGGAGATGGAGAAGCTGGGAGCAGAGGCATCCCGCCTGTACAACAGTTCAGGGAAGGAGAAAAGAAGGGTGAGCAGGAGATCTTTACAGAAATAACGTTGACTTCCCCAGAGTTAAAGCGAGATGAAAAACCTTGGAATTAAACAGCTCACAGGAATGCCAAACAGACTAGGAGGGACCCACACCAACACGTTGTGTTTGGTGTCATTCGATTTCTCTACAAACAGAAGATTCTAATAGCTTCTAGATAGAACAGATTACTTGAAAGGAACAACATTCAGATTAACTTAAAACTTTTTCAGAAACGACACTGAGGCAAAAAGGCCATGGAGTGTTATTTAAGTATTTAAGGAAAAGAACTTCAACCCTAGAATTTCGTATCCAGCTAAACTCGCACTTAAAAGTGAAGGCACATGGGCTTCCCTGGTGGCGCAGTGGTTGAGAGTCCGCCTGCCGATGCAGGGGACACGGGTTTGTGCCCCGGTCCGGGAAGATCCCACATGCCGCGGAGCGGCTGGGCCCGTGAGCCATGGCCTCTGAGCCTGTGCTCCGCAACGGGAGAGGCCACAACAGTGAGAGGCCTGCATACCGCAAAAAAAAAAAAAAAAGAAAAAAAAAAGGGCACAATGCAGTTTTTTAAAAAAATTTATTTATTTTTGTCTGTGTTGGATCTTCGTTGCTGCGTGCGGGTTTTCCCTTGTTGCGGTGAGTAGGGCCTACTCTTCGTTGTGGTGCGTGGGCTCATTGCAGTGGCTTCTCTTGTTGTGGAGCATGGGCTCTAGGCACGTGGGCTCAGTAGTTGTGGCTCGTGGGCTCTAGAGCGCAGGCTCAGTAGTTGTGGCGCACGGGCTGAGTTGCTCCGCAGCGTGTGGGATCTTCCTGGATGAGGGCTCGAACCCATGTCCCCTGCATTGTCAGGCAGATTCTTAACCACTGCACCACCAGGGAAGCCCTACAATACATTTTTAAGCTTACAGGCCCCAAAAGGTTTACCCATAAACACTCTTGAGAAGGCGTACCAACACAAAGAAATAAATCCAGGAGGACACCATAAGATAGATGTGAGGGGTGACTATAGACTAAAAAAAAAAAAAAGGAAGGTCAAAACCCAAAACATATATTCATGAAAAACCAAAACTAAAGCTCTAGTAACACCCAGGTAACCAAAGCAGTGAGGAAGATCAGAGGGGAAGGACAGTGGGGTCGGGGGCAAAACACAGACACTTAAAAATGTAAGAGACTGATTGATATGGAAAACGGAACTTGAGCATGGGTTTAAATCAGTTAGGAAGAGCTAGTAGAAGAATAAAAATAAAGCACATGACTTTCAACCAGCAAAAAACATTCAGACTTTCTAGTAAACAGCAAGAACTGAGGCAAAAAAAAAAGTAAATGGAAAGCGTGAAACAAGATGGCCAAAATTTAACCCTAGAAAACAGTAATTACAACACATGTAAATAAGTCATTGATCAGAAGTCCGACTCTGGGCTTCCCTGGTGGCGCAGTGCTTGAGAGTCCGCCTGCCGATGCAGGAGACGCGGGTTCGTGCCCCGTTTCGGGAGGATCCCACATGCCGCGGAGCGGCTGGGCCCGTGAGCCATGGCCGCTGAGCCTGCGGGTCCGGAGCCTGTGCTCCGCAAATGGGAGAGGCCACAACAGTGAGAGGCCCGCATAACGCAAGAAAAAAAAAAAAAAAAAAAGAAGTCCGACTCTAATTGGAATGAATGAACTAACAGATATACATACGTATAGATATATAGATATATCTCTGTATCTGAACCAAACAAAACAAGTTGTATCAGGATTATTAGCTCAGAAGATCATGGCTCTGATCTATGCACACCTTCAAGACCTCAGGAACAACTCATACAGTGGAACCAACTTCAAACGATCAGCCGTCAAAACCGTAAAACGGAGAGTATTAACGTGAGACCACAAGCTCCCTAACTAGTTTTCTAACTTGTAACCCAATCCCAGCCCTAACTCTGAATTTAGAGTATTAAACACCTCACAAGTGTGAGCAAGTAGGGGTGACCAACACAAACAACTTGAAAAGAGAACAGCCAAGGCAGGTGACACGATGACACTCCTGTCCCTTTGGGATCTGGCGTGTCCAGGGACAGTCATTCACAGGCTCTCAGCACCCTCAGGAGATGGCTCTGGGAGAACTAAGCCTGTTCATTCCAAGTTCCTAGGAGCCCAGGACAGTTAAAACCAACCAAGTTGGAGCCAGGGAATTAGGAAATTAAAATACCTCTAGAAAACTCTATGTACAGCAGCATGTCCGTCACACAGTAAGAGAGAAAGAAGGCATCCTTCAGACAGCCTGACTCTCCTCAGAGCACTGAGTAGGCATCTTTATTCTAACACTTGCCACCCTGTCATAAACAGGTTGCAATCCACTGGACGGTGGTCCAGATTTCTGCTTTCTCTGGAAAAACAATGGGACCACATTCATCTGTGGTAACAGATGACCAGAAGTGAGCAGTGGCTGCCCCTTGAGATGATCCATGTGCCTCTAGCTGGCCACATTCAGGCTATTTCACTAATTTAACTTCCTGGCACTTCAGCTGTGACTTCCCTTTCGGTAACTTTTTTTTTTTTTTTTTTTTTTTTTTTTTTTTCTCTCTGTTGTGGCCTCTCCCGTTGCGGAGCACAGGCTCCGGAAGCGCAGTTTTTTTTTTTTTTTTTTTTTTTTTTTTTTTTACTGTCTGCCTCCATCACACGTCTTGTGGAAACTCTAACGCTAACTAAAACCCTCGTGAAACTCTTAACACCTTGTATCGTTCCTAGTAAATAATTTTTGGAATAAAGATAGTTTCTAATAGCCTGACAAAGACGATACTTAGATCTCAATCTTTAGTAAATTATCACTCAAAAGAAGTGATTATTTTAAAAGTGGATAAAGAAAGGGTAGAGAGTATCTTCAAAAGTGATTAGTGTTAGACATATGAGATTCTCTAATCATGTACTTAATGTCCAACAACTGCTTCAGGGACTTCCTGGTGGTCCAGTGGTTAAGACTTCGACTTCCAATGCAGGGGGTGTGGGTTCGATCCCTGGTCCTGGAGCTAAGATCCCACGTGCCGTAGGGCCAAAAAAACAAAACATAAAACAGAAGCAATGTTGTAACAAATTCAATGAAGACTTGAAAAAAAAACAACCAACCAACTGCTTCAACTGAATTTAAAGGAGGGCCTGACTTTTTGGCTAAATTTCTGGTATCAGTGGGAGGTTTTGCATTGTTACAGTCACAAGACAGGCTCAGAGTTGCTCAGATGGGTGGGGTGAGGACACGGGGCCACTGTTGCTATCTCCCTCCTGTCTCATCTACTTTAATATGCCGTTCACAGCTGAATAAAAGAGGCTCCAGACATTTCCTACCAACATTAATTACTTACAGTGCATCAGGAGCTGAAATTATCTGGTAATTAGCTCTTTGTTAATAATCAACTTAAAGCAGAACCAGTTAATTTTAAAGCAGAGCTTCTTAAAAAATTATTGAACATGATTCTGGTAACCTTGGGGGTAAACAGTGTGGGAGCAGCCAAACACATAAGTGTAAAGCTTCCCCATTACTAATACCTATCACTAGTTCTAGCATAAGATTTTTGAAGGAAATAGAAGTTCACCCAATTAAAAAAAGATGGGCAGGAGTGTGAATAGATAGTTCACAAAAGAAGATATCCAAATGGCCAATAAGCATATGAAAAAGAGCCCTAATCATTAGTCCACAGGGACAAGAAAGGCCACTTCACCCCCGTTTGGCGAGGATGGGCAGCAGCTGGGACTCTCAAACATTGCCAGGGGGCGTGTCAATCGGCTCAAACCCTTTGGAAACCTGACAGTGTCCACTAAAGTGAAAAATACACCTCTCCAGTGATCCAGCAATTCCACCCCTAGGAATGTAGCCAGGAGAAACGAGTGTATATATTCACCAAAAGATATGTATAAATTTATAGCAGCTTTATTCATATCGCCTCAAACTGGAAATAACCAAATGTCCAACAACTGTAGAATGAATAAACAGAAGGCGGTGTTGTCATACTGTAGAATCTTACACACCAATAACAAACCAAAAGGATAAACCTCAGACATCTTTGTACACTTTGCTGAATGAAAGAAGTCTGATATGAAAGTTTATGCTATGCGATTCCACTTATATGAAGTTCAAGAATAGGTAAAATTAATTAACATAAAAGAGGTCGGGATCAGTGGTTACTGAGGAGGGAGGGAGGGGGTTACTGACTGGGGAGGGGCACAAGGGAACTGTCTGGGGCACTGGAAATGTTCTATACCTTTACCTAGATCATGGTTACGTGGGTGTACACATAATGTAAAAATTCACTGAGATGTAGACTTAAGAGGTGTGTACTTTATGTAAGTTACTCTTAAAGGGGAGTAGGGAGACACAATGAGTAAAGTTTAAAATGTCAGCTCAGCTGATCAATACTAATTGGAGATCATCTGGCCTCATGCCCTCTTCCAGCCTACCTCCTAATCCACTCACTCAGCATCAGGTGTTCCAATGGCCCAAACTGCTGGCAGCCCAGCAGCTAAATGCAGGGCACCACATACTCACAACCTTTATCATCCCATTTTACAGATGAAAAGACAGACTCACAGAGGTGAGGCGGTGTATCCAAGGGTAAATAACTGGTAAATGAGGAGCTGGTCTGAACACAAGCCACTGATGCCAGTCTAATTCCTTGCCCACAAGGAACCAATAAAATGTTTGTTGAATGAATGAATGACCAATGTAATAACAGACATATCCTTACCTCTTTGGCTTCATTCTGTGCTTTCATATTTTCAGCAATATACTTGACACTTTGGATAGCTTCTTTGATTTCCGGTGACAGAGCAGAGAGGGACAGCACGGCATTGACAGATTCAGAACTAGAGCTTCTCATGAGATTGGCACTGAAATTCAGGATTTTTACCCTGCGGTGGTGGCAGTGGCCACATAGCCCATCCTGGCAGGGGTAGCCTTCTTTGCAGCTCTTGGACTCTATGTGGCTGAAGCAATTCAGGTTTGAGAGCTCAGCGCTATTGAAGGGTCGTGGCCTCTGAGTGTTACCCTCGCTGCTTGCCGGCCTGGTCATGAACATGACCCTGGGAAGAAATTTCAAGAAGATGGTCTTCACCCACATGGGCATCGTGTGCGTGGTGGGGGTCCTGTAGTGCACGTTGAGCACGAAGACGGTGATGACGATGGACAAGGTTACAAAAATCATGGTGAATAGGAGGTACTCGCCGATCAGGGGAATCACCAGAGAGGTGGACGGGATGGTCTCAGTGATCACCAGGAGAAATACAGTCAAGGAGAGGAGGACCGAGATGCAGAGGGTCACCTTCTCGCCGCAGTCGGAGGGCAGGTAGAACACGAGCACAGTCAGGAAGGAGATGAGCAGGCAGGGGATGATGAGGTTGATGGTGTAGAACAGGGGCAGGCGCCGGATGTACAGCGAGTACGTGATGTCCGTGTAGATCTCCTCGCAGCAGTTGTACTTGATGTCATGTTTGTAGCCGGGGGCTTTGATGATGGCCCACTCGCCACTCTCCCAGTAGTCCCTGAGGTTCATGGAGGAGCCAATGAGGACCAGGTCGATTTTTGCCTTGTCGTAGGACCAGGAACCAAACTTCATGGTGCAGTTCTGGTAATCGAATGGGAAGTAGGTCACATCAATTTTGCACGAGCTCTTAAAGATGGCCGGGGGGATCCAAGTCACTTCCCCTGTGTACTTGAGTAAAGCTTTGGTCTTGTCGTCCACCTGGAAATCCCCAACAGCACTGCGGAGACAAAGAGGAGGTGTGCGGCACACAGGTCATTACCACGTGGTCAGCTAGCCCAGCTTCTCACGCCGCCAGCAGGTAAACGGCAAGTAACGGTTTGTAAAACTGCAGAATATGAGAGCTCAAAGTGCTATAAAAGGTCTCGCAGTTCACCATCTCATTTACCAATGGGGATACTGAGGCCCAGGACCCCCCAACCCCCAACAATCTGACACACTCATCACCCCCCGCGCTGGGGCATGTCATGGGTTCATTCCACACCATGCAACTCCTAACTTGATATATATGGAGACACTCCCAAATGCCAGATATTTTTTTTTCTCCTTTAACTGAAAAAATAAATGAATGAAAGTGGTCATCAGGAGGCAGGTGTTTAGGTGAACTTTGGGGACATTTGCCACTCGCTGTCTCTATGGTTTGGCCCTGGTAATGCCTCCTCATCCTGTCTGCATTGGGAGCCCAATGTATGTACACACACGGATGTCAAACCAGACCGTGGACCTGGAAGGGGCTGTAGAGACCACCGTAGGAGCCCACTGCCATTAAACTGAGCCTGTTAGATGGGTCTATTACCAGGCCCTATCTCTGGACCCTGGTTCTACCGTTTACCAAACTTCCCATTCCTCCCTGCACTATTTTAGAATGAATAATCATGTTTTCTGATTCCTTGTCTTTCAAGCCCAGCATGACAGGTCCCTTTGCCTTCTGTGTCCCTATCCTTCCCCATTTTCTCCCCATGTTCCTTCTCCCTTCTGTTTAGCTATGTGCGCCCTTTCTATGCAGAGACATACATTATTCCTAGAATTGGCTTGTTGGCATTTATCAGCTGGTTTGTGCAGTGGAAGATTTGCTGACGACCAGCTCAACACCCTGTCCAGTCTCGTATCTGAGCATGAAGCCAGCCGGTCCTCATGACAATGGCCTTGCCCAGTGAAAGCTCTTGACATTTCTGTGGGTCAGCCCTGTTGATTTCTTAGAGTTCTGCATTTGAAGGCATGTATGTCCTTCTAAAGGGAGCAACCACTATACCCATTTGCCTGAAGAGCTGGGGAAAAAAAAAAAAAAGGCAAACCTGAACATTTAGGGATCCTGCCTGGTTGTTACTGGATAGCACTGTGTGAAGACAGGAGGGGGTGTGTCTGGGGCGTGTCTCCTTGCTGGTCTCTGGCCCTCCCACCCTCACGTGCATCTGTCCGGCAAGACAGTCGTTACACGTGAAGACTTGATGTCAAATCCACTACCCGCCTTCACTCCAGCCGGCTGGGTTGTCCCAAAGGTGCCCTGCTGTGTTTGTATGTTCTTAACCCCACTTTATCCTACTGGGCCCTCAATTCCCCACAAGAAGATGATTCCCAGCTCCAGGAGGAAAGGAGGGGTATGAGAAGTGGGGAGGGGGTGGGGACCCACAGAGCCCCAAGTGGACTTGACCATGTTGAGCACCAAGGAGGCCTGGGAGGCTGGCCTACGCTACGCAGAGGGCTGAGAGGACCCCTGGGAAGGCAGAGGCCTCCAGAACAACTTTCCTTAGGGCATCCAACAAAATGGACCTTCAGAGCCCAGGGACTAGTCCAGGGCAAAGTACAGCCCACTGGCCTGCCCCCTATTTCTGTACATAAATTTTTATTGGAGCACACAGCCATACCCATTTGTGGTCTATTGTCTGCAGCTACTTTTAAGCTACAAGGGCAGGACTGAGTAGCTGCGACAGAGACGCTAAGGCCCACAAAGCCTAAAATACTTAACTACCTGGCCCTTCACAGGAGAGCTTAATGATCCCTGCTTTAGTCTGATCCCCTCATTTTACCGACGAGGAAACTGAAGGTCAGAGAGCAGGACTGGCTTGCTCAGGGTCCCACAGAGTCTGTGGCAGAGCCCTGACCAGTCGGAACTTGAGTCCTCAAGTCTGTGTGTCCAAAAGGCCAAACACTGGAGATCAGCTTACCTTGGTTGCTGGTGCACATGTCTGCTATTTTCCAGGGATCCTGGTCACTGTGGCGGCTGCCTACAGACCCCCACAGCTGTGTCTGCCCAGACCAGGAGGCCTGCTTGCTGACAGCGTCAGTGGCCTAGCTCTGCCACCAGGAGACCGAAGATGAAGACCCCACTGGGTACCAGGGTCTGGCAGAGCCCCAGCCACAGAGAGGGCGCTCGGTAAGTTAGCTGACTGAACGGATGACCAAAAAGATAAATGAAGCTCTCACCCCCCTGGCTGCCCAAGAGATGGCTGGCAGCAAGGGTCAGCAGAGGGGGAAAGGTCTCACTCAGCCAGTGTGTTGCTGAACCATGTGAGCTGATTAAAAAAAAGAAAAGTCAGGGTGGGTGCAAATGATTAGTTGAGGTATCACTTTAATAGAAGGAAAGAGTAAGAGCTGAAGTGGGGCGAGGGTGGTGAGTGGTAGAAAGATCACGATGGCATCCGTTTCTTTAACCTTTCCAAATTTCCTCAGAAAAACAGGGCAACAAGATAGCAAAAGAAAAATCCCGCTGCCCACGTGGTCAACAAAGTTAGGTTACGTGGAATTCCAAGAACCTCAGGTGTGAGAGAGTGGGGTAGAACCACCACCACCAGCGGGACCTGCGTGGGATTCGGGTGGGGTTAACTACTGTGGAGGTGGCTGAGGGAAGAGGAAGGGAAGTTCTCCTGTCCCGAGAGCCCCAGACAGAAATCACCAAGAGGTATCTGCCCCTCAAAAAAGAGGACCCCGCTCTGCACTGCATCCTCAGCAAGGGGAACGGTGAAACAGAGAGGGCGCCACAGGTTCCAGTTTGTGGGAGAGGACAAAACGATGGGGAGCCACCAGGGTCTGCAGAAGAGGCTGGGCTGGGCTCGATCTCAGAAACACCTCCCACCCCAACTGCCTTCCAGAAGGACAGAGACCCACCCAGAAAAAAGCTGCATAGGGTAGGCTTCAAATTGAACAGCGTGGGAAACTGAGGGTAAGAAAAAGAAGATGGTTGAGAAAGTACAGAAGCAGGTGTCTAGAAGTGGCAGCTCTCAGACTGTGGAGGTGGCTACATGGAGTATTTAAATGCTTCAAGGGAACCACTTGAGGAGGGAACTCCCAAGCAGGTGACACAAGAGACCCACCCTTACCCACTCCCATCCCCTCTGGGAACCTGTCCTAAATGTACAACAAAGGCCATCTATTTAAACAAGAGCAACAGAAAAGGATTAGACTGAACCTCATATTAACATATTGTAAGAAAAATATGAAAATTGAATGACAATAACATACAAGCAGACAAGTGCACACCGCAAAAATATAACCTCAGAGCAGACGAAACTGATAATCTGACATTACAAATTAAGCTAAGAGAAAGAACGATCTTCAGAAACTTTGAAAGAGCAGCATAAATTAGAAATAGAAAAGTTAAGAATTTGGGTGAGCAATAGGAGGACGAATAAAGAACTGACAGAACTTAGGAAAGGATGGGAAGAAAGAAATTTTAAAAAATCATTTTAGAAATAAAAACTAAAACGTAACAACAAGCAGACACCATGGAAAGTATTGTGATGAAAATAAAAAACAGAAAGGAGAAAACAAATTCTTTTAAATCAAAAAGAGACAAAGAAAAAGAATGTGAGAGAAAATAATACGGAAAGAATCCAGGTAAAGCAGTTCAAATATATGTGAAAATGGGGTTCCTGGAGGGACGAAGCAATAGAACAGATCTGAAAAACTCTAATTCACAAAAAATTTACTGGAATGAAAGGTGGCTTATTATGTATATGGTACAGAGTAAAACAACTAGATTTTAAAGCTAATGGATAAAATATCTTTGGGTTTTACCCAAGGAAAAGAACAACCCCCTTGTAAACATGCTGACTATGCATCCCAATTCATCCAGGACAGTCCTGGTTTACATCTGTGGTCCTGGCACACGTATTAATAGAGTCCCTTTACTCTCCCCAAAGTCACCAGATTTTACAAGAAAAAAAGAAAATTAGACTGGCAATCGTTTTTGACAGCAACACTTCATACCAGAACATGAGTCAGCATTTTTAAGATTTTCATGGAAGGAAAATATGAGCCAAGGATTTTATATCAGCAAATGACCGAAAAGTATTACCTAAAAATGGCTACAATGAGTTATGAACCTGTAAGAACTTAGGGTATACTGTGTCCACGAACACTTTCTGAGGATTCTACTAGAGAAAGAACTTCAAAGAACAAAAACATGGCAGGAGGAACTGGCATAAGAAGGTAAAAAGTGTTTCTAGAGTGTTGAAATGAAAAGAAACTCTCACCAGAGGTTTAGAGAAACTGAAGTTTTAGTTAGGAGAGAGGAATTGAAGGATATTCTCTAAATCTTATTTTCAGCTTCAGACTCCAAGGAAATTCCTTATGATATTTGCTTCTCTCCATATCCGATGGAAGCTTTTCACTATGTCTCTCAGTATTGTTAAAAGCACACATCCCTAAAGTACCCCAGCTGTTCACCCAAGATTGCCAGCAAGAAAACAGCTATGAAATTCAAATCATAAGATTAAGATCTGTGCCCACTTTCTTAATTCTAGCTTAGCAAAAATTCTTACCACCCTGCTCAGCTCCTTAAGGGCCTTTGGACCAGGAGATTTCTAGGATGGCTCACATTCTGCAAACCAGTTAATTTATCTCCTGTCCCAGTTCTTTAAGGACAAGTTGCATTTACAAGTTGCATGAAAGAAACATATTTATGAATGCTATCTTTTCTACGGAAAGCAGTAAACAAAACACAGACCTCTAAGAGTTTTATAGTTTCCGGCCTTCCATTTAGGTCTTTAATCCATTTTGAGTTTATTTTTGTGAATGGTGTTAGGGAGTGTTCTAATTTCATTCTTTTACATGTAGCTGTCCAGTTTTCCCAGCACCACTTGTTGAAGAGGCTGTCTTTTCTCCATTGTATATCCTTACCTCCTTTATTAAAGATAAGGTGACCATATGTGTGTGGGTTTATCTCTGGGCTTTCTATCCTGTTCCATTGATCTATATTTCTGTTTTTGTGCCAGTACCATA